AAAGAAAGAAAGAAAGAAAGAAAGAAAGAAAGAAAGAAAGAAAGAAAAATCAGGCTAGCATTTGATTGAGTCTGGGGGACTGGTACAGAAGAGCAACTACAAACAAGTAAAAATGTCTTTGGAATTAGACAATGTGGCTGCCACCTAACTCAGTGACCAATGTGTGAAGCAACATGGTTTGTTCTATATAACAAGTTTTATAGTGTGAAAACCATATAACAATGAAGCAGAGTAATTCACTATTAAACAAGATACCATATATATCAGGAGTTTCCACATATTTGTGACTGAGAAGTGACAGCTGCAGAATTGATAGAAACTCAAAACCATGGATTCAGGGGAAAAAAAACTGAAAGAAGGAACATAGGAAAGAAAGAGAGAGAAGAAAATTATTTCTATTATTTGCTGGTTATGTTAGGACTCTGTCACAGCAGATGCATCAGCGCTGTAGATAGGCTCCAGAAGTACAAGTCCAAGCTTTCTTTCCCCCAAGCTATCAAGGGTTTGATAGAGAGGTAGGCGATATTAGCTTTTAATGTTCCTATAAATTTAGTGACTAGATTTAAAAGGCTACAACTTTGTCCCCTGGTGTCCTGCATTCCAGGTTCATGAAATAAGAATATTACATTGATATCTAACCTGTACATGGTTTCCTAACTGAATTCACAAGTCTGAGTCATATTTAATGAGGAGAAAGCTGAGCCTTCAGGTTCTAGAAGCAAGTGTCAACTGACAACCAGACTAATGCGCTCACCTTGGTCAAACATCACATAGGCCTGTAGAAGACTCCTGCTCTGGCTAATGTGGGAACTTGTCTAAGGCACAATGGAGAGTTCAAGGCTAGCAGCAGGCAACTTTAACAGTTATCATTTTTTTTTTGATATGGAGAAATAGTACATTCTGGGGCTTTTGATTTTTAGACTATCACCAAAACTTTCCCTCTCAGTATGCCTTAAGCATCCTTTGTGTAGAAAATAAAATTATAGCTTTCTTCAGTACGGGTGAGCCATTAATTGATCCAATGTGTCTGCTGTTCTGAAAACAGCTTCTTAGACAGGAACAAATGATAACTATTATGCTGTGCATAGAGAAGCTCAGTTTAAGGTTCCAAGCCCACACACATAAAAACATTTAAGGAATCCATAAATTCATCTAACAACCTTTGTGTTTACAGAACCCAGACTTACTCCTGCATGCTCTGTTTCCCACTCCCTGAATCTATATTTTCCATATTAAATGTTAATTGAAAGATACCTTACATGACCCTGAGTACTCTTCCATAGTGCAAATATCCTTGGAGATCAAGTTTTAGCAGTGGTCCTATGATTCAAGGTCAGAGTACAGCCTCCTTCCTAATTCCTCCCCCTCCCCAAGAATGCTTGATCTCAAGGAAATACTGCAAATGCCTCTGGCATGAAGGGTCAGAACTTTTCCAAGAAGGTAATGGCCTCTCATCATAAAAATGCTCCTGTTTTCTGTCTTGTTTTTGTATAAGCCTCTGACATTTTTGCCTCCTGACCTGTTTGCCAGAAAGCTGACAAACATCCTTGACTATAACAGCTGGTGTTGATTACTCTGGGCAAATTAATTGTATATTTCACTAATAGGCGATTCGTGCTCTTGAGAGGGAAATCTGTCTCTAAAGAATACATGTCTACACATACCGCCAATCCAGGCATTCCGTCTCAGCTGTTTACTTATTAAAAACCCGGCCTTTAACTGAAATAATAGCTTTGATTGGACTACTCTGCTCAGAAAAACACTACTGTCATTTCTTTCACCTGACCTCAGGAAACCCAAGGGGAAAGACCCACCTCTCAGGTACCTCTGTAGAAGCTTACACTCAAGGAGGGCAGTTTCCTATGACCAGTGGCTTGTGCTAATATGAATAACACAGCCTATTGTTTCTGTTATTCCCCTCACCAAAACACTGCTTATAGCGTGAGTTGAATAGGAGCGATCATGTTTATTTCTAGTCCAGGCCCCTGTGGTCACCAACAAAGGTCTTTACTTTTTCAGTGCAGTCGTCAGCATATCAAAAGCAGGCAAGCAAAGGACAACACAGCCGTGGAAAGTAATTCTAACTTTATGGCTATTTTTGGCTTGTTGGGCATTGAGATTATTCACCACTGAGCCTGTCAGTCAGTTTCTCCGGATGATAACCCCAGCAGAGCCAGCTGGTGAACTGCATATTATTTACGGTGTGTAAGCGGAAGGGGCTCCTGGGAAGGGCTGGCACCTGACTTGATGGGAGCAGTTTGTAGGTGATCAGCTTCAGGCAGGTAACTTGACCTGCCTCTTGATCCACAAACCCTTGCACCAGGTATGTACACCTGATGCACACGATGAAGTACAGAGCTGAGTTATCAGATCTTCCGCGTCCAGACAGGTGCTGGGCAGGGTCACTGAAAAGAACAATATCCCAGCCCTATCTCCCAAACTTCACTTCCCAAATTCTCCTGCGAGAAGTCACCCCACCACTGTGAACCCTCTGCTATTGAAACCTCTCCTGTTTGTAACCTCCTTCCCTGTCCCCAAGTGACGCACAACAAAACACATAAGAGACCAGCCTCTGGTGCTGCACCGACTTTCCAGGCTAAAGCACCTGGGAGGCGGTGCTGGGTCTCACCGTAGACGCTTCTCGGGCTCCCCTCCCCCACGTCCTCCACACACCCCTGGGGTTGCTCACCGGCGTGTGACATGGTGATGGTCTCATTGGTGTTGGAGCCCACATTGAAGATGACCACAGCGGAGGCGTTCTGCAGGAATGCGTTCCGGATCTTATCCCTGTAGGTGCAGTTGCCCTTGGGGATGAGGGCTATCCAGTGCTTGCCGTGGGCCGGCGCGGCGAACTTGGTGTTGGGGTCGCAAGCCAGGCGGTCGTGGGCCGAGCTGGCCATGACCACTTCGCCGCGCGCGTCCTGCTTGGGCGAGTGCTCGCCATATCGCCCGCACTCGCTCTTCTCCGTGTGCAGCTCGGCGCCGCCACCGCCGCCCGCCACCGCGGCCCCGGGCTCCGGCTCGGCATAGGTGATGTTCACGAAGGCGGTGTACCATTCCTCCTTCTCCGCCACGGTGAAGTCCAGGCAGAGTAGATGCACGAAACAAAAGGAAAGCAGCCATGTTGAGAGAGCCAGACTGCGGCACGCTTGGATGAGAGACATTGCCACCTCTCTCCTCCGGGGTCCCTTCCCCGCCCCCTGCCCCCTCCTCCCGCTCCGTCCCTCCTTCCCCACCCCGGGTCAACCCCGGGCCTCCGCTTTGGTCCTTCGGTCGCCGCGGCTCACTCCAGGGCTGGCGGAGCCCGGGGTGGGACGCCCAGCCTCTGCGGAGACCGGATCCCGGGCGAGCAGGAGAAGCCGGCCCTGTCCCCTCTCAGCCGATGAGCGGCGCTGGCATCGAGCTTCCCCAGTGATCCAGCGCGGACACGGAGCAGGCGCCGCGCGCTTACAGGGGACTCCTGCTGCAAGAGTCCAGCTCCTTTGCCCAGAGTCGTCTTCTCTGATAGAAGTGGTGGAGGTCCTGGGGTTTGGACGGGCTGGCGGCTCTGCTCGTTGTGGCCTGGCGGGGAGGGGGCGGGTTGCCCGAGGTCCCGGGTGCTGGGACTATGGGTCTCGCTGCAGTCGTGGCGGTAGCTCCAGCTCCGCGAGGGTTCCTTAGAGGAGTGGGCACTGCACTTCTGGCCTAAGTGGCTAAGCCCGGGACATTCACTTGCGGAGAGAGGGGACGGTACGGGCCGATGGGATGGCGGAGAGCGTGCGTGCGGAGAGAGGGATACAGCGGTGTGTGTGTGTGTGTGTGTGTGTGTGTGTGTGTGTGTGTGTGTGTG